AATAAACACCAGCACCAGCCAGAAAGTAGAGTTTTCTATTCCCAGGACTAATGAGGGTCAACCCAAGCACATTTTGGCTGCATCTGAGCAAGAGAAGACTGGCCCTTCTTCCAGAAAACCTAGAACTGACCACAATGGGGTCAGTCAGTAAATGGCTGACTCATGGAGTTGGAAGATATCTGAGGTTATCCCATGCAACATGTCACTGCCATCAGACACTCAGGCACCTGGGGAGGCAGCCTGCTGGGGAAGAGAGTCCACTGCATGGATATCCGGATCATGTGGTTTCCAGCTCAGCTCAATTGCAGACCTTCTGTAGGCCCTTGGGCAAGTCATATCTCCTCCCCAGACTTCAGTGCCCACCTGTCACTACAGGGTCCTGGCTGCCTTGCAAGCACCAGGCTGTGTTAGGAAGCTCTTATGTACCAGGCACTAGATGAGGCCTTCCCCATGCATTAAGTCCCCTCAGTTCAGGCATGCTCCTGCATTCTGGTACAGAGATTCAACTACAAAGAATGTGATTGCCCAAATAGTGAGCCCAAGGGGGAAGACACCCTGCCACCTGGAGGGGGAGGGCACTGAGCATCTCCTTTCCTCCACTACTGATAGCCTTTCATGCCTTTGCTCCTCTTGCTGTTCCAAGAGTAAAACTGTGACTGGTTTTCTACAGCAATCAGCACTGGAGCCTGAACGTGGGAACCAGCAATCCCACAGGACAAAGAGGGGAAGCCAGAGGAAGACAAACAGAGGCAAATGGAACACATCACCCTAACCAACCCAGAAGCCCAGGGAGGAAGAATCAGCCTCTTGGCCCTTTGTTGGTCTTATCTCCCTTCCTTGCCTTATTCCCTCCCAGAGCAGCAGATGGGCTCAAGAGGTGAATGAGGAGTGGAGGTCAGGTTCAGGAGGATGTGAAGGTGAACAAGGAGGATTCAGGGCATATGGGAAGCCTATCAGTGAAGGTTGCAGATTGGGAGATGATGTCAGTGGCAGTGACCTGGTCAGAGGAGGAGGCCTACGGGGAGGAAGGACAAGTTAACGGCTTCAGAGAGTGGGGGCATTGCCTCACCAGGGAACAGTTTTGGCATGGATACCTAAGATGGGAACACAGAACCTCCTGGTCCAAGTCACCTTCCTAGGACCCTCTGCCATTACCCCATACTGCCAGCTTACTAAGAGCTATCCTTGACATCCTCCTCACAAGGCAGTGAAATGCAGTAACCAATGCTCCCTCCCCCCCACAGCTAGGCAATAGTTCAAATGGATTGTCTCACTCAGAGAGAAAGAGAACCCAGCCAGTTTCTGCCTCTGCAAGAGAAATATCCAGGGCCTCCCTGGGTTAGGGAAGAGCTAGGGTAAGGCCTCTGCCATGTGTCATGGGATATGAGCTCATCCTCATTACACTGGGCGGGGGCTGGACAGTTACCCAGACTCATCATGTGCACCCGGGGCCTATGAGATCACTCACACAGACATTGAGAGAATCTCCCCCATATACATGCACCTCTGTCCCCTAAATGGGGCAATCTGAGGGCAGAGCATGGGGCCTCTGAACCCTTAAAATGCTGGGGCTTCTCCAACCCCTCCCCTGCACACACATACTACCTCAGCTCCCCACTCCACACTTCTCCCCACACCCTAGATTTGCCGAGTGGCCAAAGGTTCACACACACTGTCTTCCCCCCAGAGCTCTCATTATGCTGTGAATCAGAGGGCGGGAGGAAGATCTGGCAGATAGGAGCCCCTAGAAACCCATAAGACCGGTGTGACTTCCTTGAGCAGGGCCTGCTGCCCTGAGACTGACTGTCATGGGCTGGGGAGAGGCAGATTCCTCCCATGTGAGGTCAGCATCTGAGTGCAAGTCATGGGTGCCCATGTGAGGATGCTTGGTTAGTTCTTCATGGGGGAGGAGGAAGGCAGAGGGTGTGAAGAGGGATTTCCCTGCCTCAGAAGATAGCTTATTCCTGTGCTACAGGGAGGGCAGTGTGAGGTCCTGGGTGGGTTCAGAGAACAGATTGGGCAAGGGTAGAGGGTAGTATTCCAGAGGAGGGAATGATCCTGTCTTTTCAGACTGAGCCCCAGGCACATGGCAAAATTAACACTATAAATAGATCTATTTGGGGCTGGGAGGGAGGTACCTATCAGGAAACCATTGGGAATCAGGACACTCCTCAAAATTAGCCCCAGAAATGAGTATTTGCCTACATATTATTCTAAAATTTCCTTTTGATTAGGTTGTAAAGAAGAGAGTTTAAATAAATGATGTCTACAAAATAAGCTATTACCCAATCATTAAAAAGAAAGGCAAAGTCACAATTTGATTTTGTTCATATACACGTGCACATGCACAATGCTAAAATGTTTAATAGTGTTATCTCCAGGTGTTGAGATTTACCATTCATTCATTCCTTCAACTAATATTTATAGAGCACTTTGTATATGTGGTGGTTATGATAAATTCTGGGAACATGGTAGAAAACACAGCAGGCAACCCCCCCCCCCTTATGGAGCTTATTTTCCAATGGAAAGACAAAAAAGAAACAAGTGAACAAATACAAAAAGGGCTCTCAACTGTTATCAGTGCAATAAGTGAACCAGAAGATAAGCCTCTAGGTAGGGAGTCAAGGAAGGCTCTCCAGCAGACCCCAGCACTTATCGGAAGCCAAAAGATACAGAGAGCCAGGAACCCTGCAGAAGCCAATCGGCCAAGAGAGAGCAGACACCAAGCCCTGAGGTGGGAAACCCTGGACTTGTCCTAGGAACTGAGGAAACCTAGTGAGGGTCTTTGAAACTATAGCAGTGAATTTGGATTCCAGATGAGCTTGGTCACTTTTGGCATTGAAGAGGGATACGCTCCAACCCCCACCCTGAAGAGATGCTTAAGCTATTTTTAGAGAATGATTTGGAGAAAGCAATGGATGATTTGGTTTTGATCTTTATACCTTTATGCACTCTAAGAAAATTATAGAAAAAAACAATAAAAAGCAATATTTATTATGTTATATATTTTATATTTAATACCTGTTTCCTTGTGTGAGTGATCCATGCTTTGGAGTATTTATGAGCATGGCTTTCTTGAGAACTTCTGTAACTACAAACTTGGTCATGGGACCTAGGCAGCCCCTAGCTCACAGCAGAAGACCCCTACAAGCCTTCTACTTGACCCTTCTGGTCTAAAGTTTGACCCCCTCAGGACAGGATTTATTTCCATACAGAATGGAGTTATAGATATGTCCTGAGAGCAGATGGACTGTGGGCTAGTGGCCACGAGAATCCCTAGCAACCCCATCCCTTCATGAGATGTGATTCTTCCCACCCTGATACCACATACCCCAGCCTGAACATCCCATAGAAACACATAACTTTCCATTCCATGCCCTTGGAAATGAATCTCCAGGCCTAATTATCAGGATGACCCTGTTTTACAAGTGAAGAAATTAAGATTCAGACAAAAGGCTTGGCTGAGGTCACAAAGCAATAGGAAAAGAGGACCAGTTTCCCAAGATGCTTCTCTCACCTCCCCATGCCCAGGTCAGATGAGTATCACAGGAGTGATGGAGCCCCCAGAGCTCTCTGTGTGTCTCCATGAAAACGGGCCCTGAGGGGTTTTCTGCTTCAGGTGCCTGTGATGAGTCAGAAAGGGGCTGAAGGAAGTTGACCAATTTGAGTGGTGAAACCAGTCCATCTCCTTCAACCAGGGAAGGAGGTTGGGCTGGGGAACAATATAAAGGGCACCCTGGCCCCTGTTCAGCTCAGAACTCCGCTAGAGGACTCTGCAGCCGTCTCCACTGTGAGTCTGGTAAGTATTAGCTGGGAGGACTGGGGCTGGCACCAGGGGCATCCAGCACACTAGAATGTGGCTAGGGTGGCCAGCCTGGGCAGGTGCATGGATTACTCTCAGGCTGGATTCAACTGGACTACCTGTCTTTCTAGGAGGGCTCAGGTCACTATGCTGAAGGACATATGTCATGGCATGGAAACACAGGAGAGCAATCCCCTCCCCTCCTGTCCCATCTTTCCTTGGTTTGATGTTTTGGAGTGTGTGTGTGTGTGTGTGTGAGAGAGAGAGAGAGAGAGAGAGAGACAAAAGAGGTAAGATGGGGATGAGGGGGAGTACAGTCAATTTCTTCCCTGAAACTGATTTGGGCTGACCATGATTGTTCTTTAGGGGGGCAGGGGTTTGAGGGAAATGCATGTAACTCTTGTTGTACTGCAGAAGGAAGAATGGCAAAATGGGGAAAATCTTTTATTTGGAGAAACCCAGGCAAAGCAGAAGCTGGAAAACCCAACTTAGAAGTACAAGACTTGAAAGAACTGGCTCCGCTTCCCAGCAACCTTCCAGCCCCTCCCCCCACCCCATCCCCTAAGTGCTAGGGCTGCAGCTAAACCTGTGAAGGTCATGAAAGAAACCCCTGGAGTTGAACAAGCCAATCTGCTAATTTTATAGAGGAGAAATCTGAGGCCCAGCAGGATTAAGTGACCTGCTCAGAAACATACAACCTTTCAGTGGGATAACTTAAGCTGACTGTGCTCACCTGTTCTGTGAGTAGTCCAGGGTATGTGCCATGGACCACTGATTTTCTAGGACTCAGGAGTCCTCCAGGAGTACCCTTCTTTTCCTAGGGCTTCACCTTTTCCCATCATAACCCCAGAACTCATCTCTCCTTCTTGGTCAGTAAAGGTCAAAAGTAGGGGCAGAGGCAAGGATTAGGTAAGAAATGGCACCCAGTAACTCTGAAGACAGACCTCTTCGTTGGCTCTTTCTAGGAACAAAAGGCTCCCAGGAGGGCCTTTCTCGGCCCTCCCCCTCCTCCCCTTCACTCTGCTGCATCTGGGGAACATAGCCCAGAGTGGATAGGAGAGTCCCAACCCAAGGAAAGAGAAGGCATGCTGAGAAACCATGCCCTTCTGCAGATTCTGGGGATTCATCCACTCCCTCTGCCTTCAGTCACCCTTCTGACCCCTTCTGTTTTTCAGATTGATCTAAAGCAGCTTCCAGGATGTCCCAGCAACACACTCTGCCAGTGACCCTGCCTCCTGCCCTCAATCAGGAGCCCCTCAAGCCTGTTTCTCCTCCCATCGATACCCAGCAGGAGCAAGTGAAGCAGCCAACTCCACTACCGGCCCTGTGCCAGAAGATGCCCTCCAAGCTCCCAGGGGAGGTCCCTTTGGAGCATGCGGAGAAACACACAACTCTTGTGAAGGGGGTGCCCGAGCAACAATGTGAGCCACAGCAGCAGGAACAGCATCTGGAACAGCAGCAACAGCAGCAGCAACAAGAATCACAGGAGCAGGAACCATGCCTGGAACAGCCACAACCGCAGCAGCAACAAGAATCACAGGAGCAGGAATTGTGCCTGGAACAGCAGCAGCAGCAACAACAAGAATCACAGGAACAGGAACTGTGCCTGGAACAGCATCTGGAACAGCAGCAACAGGAGTCACAGGAGCAGGAACTGCATCTGGAACAGCAGCAGCAGGAGCTACAGGAGCAGGAACAGCATCTGGAACAGCAGCAGCAGCAGCAAGAGTCACAGGAGCAGGAACTGCACTTGGGACAGCATCTGGAACAGCAGAAGGATGAGCCAAAGGAGCAGAAAATACAGCAGCAGCAGCAAGAGGAACAGTGTGAGGAACACCAGGAAGCAAAAAATCTGGAGCAACGGCTGGAGCAGGTGAAAGCACAAAGAGAGCAGCAGCAAAAGGAACAGCTGGAACAGGAGAAGAAGCTCTTGGACCAGCAACTGGATCAAGAGCTAGCAAAGAGAAATGAGCAATTGGAAAAGAAAGAAGAGCAGCTGCTGGAACAGCAGGAGCAGCCACTAGAGCCAGCAGAGCAGCAGGAGGGGCAGGTGGAGTGGCCTGCATTTGTCCCAGCTCCTGGCCAGGTCCAAGAGACCCAGCCAGTTCAGCCAGTGAAGGGAGAAGTCTTACCCCTCACAGAGCAGCAACAGCAGAAGCAGGAGCTGTATGGCTCCCCAAAACATAAGTAAGCACCCCCAGTATCCCAGAGGCTCTCAGGCCATCCCACACAAGTGAAGAGAGAGCCAGTGGCCTTGCTAATCTCAGGTCCCCAGCCTGGGTGGCCTGCCTCATCTGTGAACCTGTCTGACCCTGTCCTTCTGTTTCTTTGATGGGGCTGGGGGAAGGGGAAGTTATTGTTCAGCAACCACCCCTAATGAACTCAGTCCCAACCTCAGGTGGCCAGAACCTCTGCCTAAGGAGACAGTTACCATACTAACTCTGACTTCGTCCCCAGTATTATAGTTGAATCTATGAGTGTGTACAATAATACAGAATAAATCCTGGAAGTCCTTGGATCCTGTATTCTCTTTGTCTTTTCTCCTCTTTCTCTCACCATATAAAAACCTGTGTGTGGGTCAATGGTTGCAACAGACTCTCTTGGCCAATTCCCAAAGGAGGAAAGACATTTTAACCCTGCTCCCCAAACCACCCAATATATTCACCAGCTTCTTAAAAGGAAACTAAACCAATACCAAACCAAAACAACTTCACTCATGCACCTGAAAGTAAAGCTTGTCAATTGCTGATCATTTGCAGGGACAAGTTAATCTGGTTGGAGAAAGGAGGATCTGTCCACCTCAGCCCAGCACTGCCTTACACCACACATCAGGCCCAATCTTAGTCTCTGGCCAAGCTCAGTCCAGCACCTCAAGCTCCTCTCATCTCCTCACTTTGGGGATGACTCTGGGAAGATACTAGGGAAGTATGGGGGCTTTGGCTGGGTTCTGGTCCCTTCCTGGATGTTCTCTCTGTAGAATAGATTCTAAGAGTCTTATGGACTCTTAAGTCTACTTGGCTAAGGAAAACTTTACAAAAGTGATAGAAGCAGAATTGAGCAAGGTGGGAAGAGGAGAGTCCCAAGACTGGTCCCAATCAATGGCAGTGACAGTGTCACTAAAGCACTAAAGAAAGTAAAGGTTGGGCACACTGGAATCATGAGAGTGCTCAGTAGGTTGGAGAAATACAGATCCAAGTCCACTGTAGCCATTACCCTCCCTGACATTTCTGTAACCTTTACTGGCATCAATCACACCAGGACTTGGGGCTCTCTCCTTCCTGCAACAAACTCTGCCTTTAATGCTTCAAACCACCTGCCTTTAACTATTAACCTTATCATTTCAGGCAGGTTGTCTCAAGCCACCTAAAGCTATTTTACCACAGCCATGAGGATATGCCTGGGGCATCCCTGTTGAGACGTCCACAGGCAGCTAGATTCAATAGACCTGAATGGCACTTAGCATCCCTTACTCCCCTCCCAACCATAGCAACACTTGCCATGTTTCCCCCTTAGGTGTTCTTTCTTGGGCAATGATACCACCATCTGTGCATTCACTTCAACAGAGACACTATCATTACTCCTCCTTCTCTTCTTCCCCACTCTGTCCCACCGATGACCACGTCCTTGTTATCCCTGCTGACACCTCCAAGCATGGACTGAGATCATTCCTCACCTCAACTATTGCAATGGCCTTCAAGCTGGTCACCTTTGCTCCTTGGCTCCCTACACACCCCATATTCTGCCCATCACAGAGAGGACAAGGTGTTCTACTTAAATTTCGGATCTAACCCCATCGCTTCTTCTAACACTTGTCAGCGGCTTTCATTACAGATCTTCCTCAACTTAAAATAGGTTTACATCCCAAAAGATCTATCATAAGTTGGAAATATTGTAAGATGAAAATACATTTAATATACCTAACCTACCAAACATCATAGCATAGCATAGCATAGCCTACCATAAACATGCTCAGAGCACTTATATTAGCCTACAGTTGGGTAAAATCATCTAACACAGAGCCTATTTTATAATGAAGCATTGAACATCTCATGCAATTTATTGAATACTGCACCGAAACTGAAAAACAGAATGGTTGTATAGGTACAGAATGGCTATAAGAGTATCAGTTATTCACCCTTGTGACTGTGCGGCTGACAGAGAGCTGGGGCTCCCTGTCTCTGCCCAGTATCACGAGGGAGTATCATCCACATATTGCTACCTCAGGAAAGGATCCAAATTCAAAATTTGAAGTATGGTTTCTACTGAATGCATATTGCTTTCACACCATTGCATAGTCAAAAAATTATAAGTCAAACCATAGTAAGTCGGGGACTGACTGTCTGTACTTATAGGATGAGGATGCTCAAGTCCTCCTACAGGACAAGAATTAAGAGAAGTCTGGGTAGGACTGGTCAGGAATATTGGGACAAAGGAAGAAGTAATCAGAAAAACTCACAGTATGCACTCATTTTCTTTGGAGAGTTGGGTTTTGATGTGTGTGTGTGTGTGTGTGTGTGTGTTTAAATAGACCTTATTTTTTAGAACAGCTTTGGATTTACAAAAAAGTTGAGAAGCTAATACAGAGTTCCCATATACTTCACTCCCAGTTTCTCATATTATTAACATCTTTATGTGGATATGGTTCATTTATTACAATTAACAAAACAATATTGATATATTAACTAAAGTTCGTGATTTATTCTAATTTCCTTAGTTTTAACCTAATGTCTTTTTCTGTTCCAGGATCCCACCTAAGATACTCCACTATAATTAGTCATCTTGTCTCCTAGGCTCCTCATGACTGACAGTGTCTCAGACTTCCATTGTTTTTGGTGACGTTGACCATTTTGAGGGAGTACAGATGAGCTATTTTGTAGACTCTCTCAATTTGGGTTTGTCTGATGTTTCTCTTATGATTAGACTGAAGTTGTGGGTTTTTAGGAGAAAGAGTACAGAGGCAAAGTTCCACTGTCATTACATTATATGAAAAGTACATACTCCTAACATGATTTATCACTTTGGTCTCCTGACTGATGTAGTGCGTGTCAGGTTTTCCCACTGTAAAGTTAAATGCTCCTCAGCCTACCCCTCATCTCCCATCTTTCTATAGTGTGTTGTTTGGAAGGAGGTCACCGTGTGAAATGGGGAGTAATCTCCCTGTCGTTAAGGGTGAAGTATCAACATAAATTATCTGGATTTTTTTCTGTATAGGAAATTCGTCTCTTCCTTCTCACTATTTGTTTATTTGTTTATATGTTTAATCACTTATTTATATCAGTGTGGACTCATGAATATTTATTTTATGTTTTGGGCTATAATCCAAGTTATTTATTTTTTTATTATGATAAAACACACATGATATAAAAATTACTATCTTAATAATTATACAGTTCAATAGTATCGAGAACATTTATTTTATTGTGCAACTGCCCGTCTCCAAAACTCTTTCATCTTGCAAAACTGAAACTCTGTATCATTGCAACAATGGCAACCACCATTCTCCTTTCTTGATTTCTTTTTGTCTTTTTTTGGGAGGAGGAGGGGCAAAGGGTTAACCCATCCTTCCAGTCCCCCCCCCTCCGGCAACCCTCAGTTGGTTTCCTATAAGAGTCTCTCGACTTTGGGGAGGGTATGTGCTATGGTGAGCACTGTGAATTGTGTAAGACTGATAAATCACAGACCTGTACCTCTGAAACAAATAATACATTATATGTTAAAAAAAAGAAAAAAAAGAAGATAGTAGGAAGGGAAAAAATGAAGGAGGGGAAATAGGAGGGGGAGACAAACCATGAGAGACTATGGACTCTGAAAAAAATTAAAAAAGAGTCTTTATGATTTGTCTCCCTCTCTGATTTCATCTTGTTTTATTTTTCTCTCCCTTCCTCTATGTGCCTCTGTTTTGTTTCTTAAATTGCACATATGAGTGAAATCATATGATAATTGTCTTTATCTGATTGACTTTATTTGCTCAGCATAACACCCTCTAGTTCCAACCACGTCATTGCAAATGGTAAGATTTCATTTTTTGATGGCTGAGTATTATGCCGTTGTATATATTTCTTCTTTATCCATTCATCTGTTGATGGACATCTAAGCTCTTTCCACCGTTTGGCTATTGTGGACATTGCTGCTATAAACATTGGGGTGAAAGTGCCCCTTCGGATCACTACATTTGTATCTTTGGGGTAAATATCTAGTAGTGCAGTTGCTGGGTCCTAGGGTAGCTCTATTTCTTGAGGAACCTCCATAATGTTTTCCAGAGTGGCTGCACCAGCTTGCATTCCCACCAGCAGTGTAAGAGGGTTCCCCTTTCTCCACAGCCTCACCAACACCTGTCATTTCCTGACTTGTTAATTTTAGCTATCCTGACAGGTGTGAGGTGGTATCTCATTGTGGTTTTGATTTGTATTTCCCTGATGCTGAGTGATGTTGAGCATTTTTTCATTTGTCTATTGGCTATTTGGATGTCTTCTTTGCAGAAATGTCTGTTTATGTCTTCTGCCCATTCTTGACTGGATTATTTGTTCTTTGGGTGTTGAGTTCGATAAGTTCTTTATAGATTTTGGATACTAACCCTTTATCTGACAAAACATTTGCAAAAATCTGGGAGAGAGAGAATCTTAAGCAGGCTCCATGCCCAGCACAGAGCCTGATGCAGGGCTCAATCTCACAATCCTTAGATCATGACCTGAGCTGAAATCAAGAGTCAGATTGAACCACCCAGTTGCCCCATGACTTCTTTTTGTCTTTTCAAAAAATCTTTCCTTTCCCCTCAAATGCCAGCCTCTGGTAATCACCATTCTACTCTCTAAGTTCAGCTTTTTTGGTCATGAATAAGTAACTATGTATTAAGTTAGATAATATACATATTATCATGCATCACATTATATATCACTAAATATGATGTGATATAATATAATATAAATGTATATCACATTTTTTATCCATTCATCTGTTGACATTTAGATTGTTTCCATATTGTGGTCATTGTGAATAATGCTGCAGCGAACATGGTAGTGCAGATATCTTTTCAGGTACTGATTTCATTTCCTTTGAGTATATACACAGAAATAGGATTGCTGGACCATATGGTAGTTTTATTTTTAATTTTTTGAACACCCTCCATATTATTTTCCATAAAGGCTGTATCAGTTCACATTTCTACCAAAAGTGTACAGTGGTTCCCTTTTC